TCCGCTTCCAGGCCTTCCTCAGGGAGCTCGTCTGGAGGCCGATGCGGGGCCTTGACGTCGGCTGGGGCGGTGACGGAGATGTGGGACGGGTCGAGGCCGCGCCGTCCTGCAGCGGCGGGGATGACTGCTCGCCCCCCTCGGACTCCAGGTCGGATCCCGGCAGCCTCTCCCAGCTGGTGTCCATCGGCTCCGAGAAGGTGACTGACGGCCGGGGAGTCCCTGGTGCTGAATTCTTCCTCGAGGCCCCCTCTCGCTTCAGACTGGAGCTTCTCCTCACCGCTGGCGCGCGAGCTCTCCCGGACGCCATGGCTTTCTCGTGATAGAGGCCCCTGCTCTCTTGGCCCGTGAGATGAATCGAGGAAATCGGACGTGCTCTCGAGCCCACGGGTCTGTACGACGGTTGAGGTGAGCTCCGAGAGTTGCCTCCTGGTCTCTCCGCCGCCTCCTCTCCCTGTGCCACCTCCTCTGGTACCTGTATCCTCCTCAGCTTCTCCTTCTCTTGTACTTCGTGATCTCCCCGTAGTGCCTCTTGAGTCCTTGAGTTGGGTATCCTGGAATCCTGCCGAGCCGATCCCCCCCTTCCCTGCAACGGTCCCGGGGGGTTCGAGTTCGAGGGGGTCCAATACGGGCTCTCCTGAGGCCTCGGGCGTAGAGGAGGGGAGGATGGCGAAGGAGGAAGGCCTGTACACTCGAAACGCGTCATTCTCGAGGCCCGGCCAGTCGCGCCGGGCCCCCTCAGGAATGTCGAAGTCCCCCGGGAGGCTCTCGTCCAGCAGCGCCATGGTGCGATGGCCGGACCTCTGCCTCGTGAGCTTGACGGTGCGGTCGAGCCCCTCGAAGCGCAGCGTGATCTTGTCCTCGGCCAGGTTCACGACGGCCCCCAGGCTCTCCATCCAGCGCACGGGCAGGAGGAGGGGGACGTCCTCCGCGATCACCCTGAAGAGGATGAGGCACCGGATCCCCGCACTGGTCACCGGCACCATCGCTTCCCCGACGACCCTGGAGCGGCCGCCGATCCCCTTGGCGCTGCTGTTGCCGTCGGTCTTTCTCACCGGGATTCGCCAGCCCTTCTTGTAGTACTTCTCTTGCAATACCTTCAGCTGCTTCTCGCCCACCAGCGCCTGCCCGGCCGCCGTGCCCACCATGCCCTCCGGCTCGTCGCCTTCGATGTCCAGGATGAACGTGCCGAGGATCGCCTCCTCTGACTTCGAACGAGGCCCACCTGGCCCCAGCTCTCTGTCATCGGGAGCTGCTCCCTCTGACCTCGAACGAGGCCCACCTGGCCCCAGTTCTCCGCCGTCGGGATCGCCTCGTTCCTCCGCGAGTCCCACCTGGCCTCGCAGAGGCTGGTCGGCTAGCACTCGCCCGTGGCCCACCTGGCCTCGATCGCAGGACTCGCCGATCAGCACGTTCCGAAACAGCTCCCGAATCCGAGGTCCTCCGACGAGGAAGGCGCCGTCGCCCTCGCCCAGCAAGTCCGCCGCCACGTAGAGCGACTTCCCCCCGAGCTCCTTCTTGGGCCGCTGCTCAATCTGCTTCGGCTTGTACGGATTGGCGCACTCCTTGCGCCAGTGCCCCTTCTGACCGCAGTTGGCGCACCGCGTTCTCTCCTTGAGGCGGGCGATGCTGAGGCGCTGCTTGCCCGCTGGCGGGCGTGGCGCCGCCCGGCCCCCGGCTCTCTTGGAGTCGAAGAAGTCGCGGTCCCGGGCAATGGCCTTCTTCAGCTCTCGCGACTCTGCCCACTTCCGAGGCCGGCCCTCCTTGGTCCTCTTCTCGTCCAGCACCGCGGCCAGGACGGCCGCCGCCTGGTCCTCGTCCAACTCCTGGTTGGCGATCGCCTCGTAGAAGGCCAGCGCGTCCTCGGTGTCCAGGATGAGGTCCTCCTCCAGCTCGAGGTAGACCTCGCTGCTGCCGAACACCTCCTCGTCGTCCTCGTCCTCGTCGTGTCCGACCGCGTACACCCTCGACTTTCTCTGGCTGCTCTTCTTTTTCACGTCCATCTTCTTCAAACCCTGCTTGATCGACTCCAGATCCTCACGGCCCTGGGTGATCGAGAGCAGGTTGATCGCATTCTGTTCGCTCAGGTTCGCTCCACTCCTCAGCTGCTGCACCTGGACCTGCTCTGGGAGCTCGAGCCCGTACCTCTTCGCCGACTTCACCTGCAGGTCCCGGCGCATCACGTACTGGGTGAACGACTCCCCCGCTCTCATCTCGGTGTCCTCCAGTGCCAGCCTGAAGCTCTCCTTGGCCTCGTCGCCGTCCTGGTCGCCCCGGCACCTCTTCAGGAAGTCGATGAGGACCTCGATGCCGCCGGGGGCGTCGAGCTCCTCCGCGTAGTGCAGGAGCCTCTCCTGCATGTCCACGGGCAAGCCGTCGATGACCTTGCCCGCCTGCTGATCAGCCGGCAGGCCCGTCCTTCTGCTCCATCGCCGCAGGGCCACTACGCAGGTCTCGAGATGCTCGAAGCCTCCCCACGGCTGAGGGCCCTGCGTGTCTGACGGGCGCCACGTGGACGTCGATCCTCCGTCGGTGGGTGCCCACGGCCGTGGCGGTGGCGGAACCTGCGTCGCCCCGACCGTCAGCTCCGTCGCTGCTGCTGCGAGTGGCTGGGTCGGCTGCGCTGGAGCCATCGTCACCGCGGGTGGCCGTGCCGGCGGCGTCGCCGGCGCAGGTGCCGACGGAGGGGCCTGCGCCGTGGCGGGATCGCTCCCGGCCGCTCCGCGCATCAGCCCGTGGGGGAGCGGCGGCTGCCGCGGCCTCTGGATGGTGACCCAGACCTCGCCCTCGTCCGCCGGTGAGCTGGTCCACCAGTGGTCTGCATATTCATTCACCTGAGAGCCGGTCCACCAGCTGGCTGAGCCCCACCATTCTCTCCACGAATTCCACCAGTCGGCATGGTTGTTCCCAGCCGCGTCGCTCCACGGGTCCCCCTGCAGCCAGGGGTCTGCCTCCTCTGCTGTCGTTGCCGGCAAGGGAGCTCCCGCGCGGCCTGTCCCTCGGCTGCCGCTCCCTGCCGTTGCTGGCTCTGCTCGCGCCCCTTGGTCTCCGCTGGGAGCCTCGGGCGCTGGTGCTGCTACTGCTGCTGCTGCTGCTGCTGCTAGTGCTGCTCTGGCAGCACGCTCCACCTCGTCGGGCGGGAGGGGCTGCTCGCCTCCCTCGGCGGCGCCCGTCGGCCCCTGTCCCTGCCCAACCATCACGCTCCTGCTACCATGTGAAACGGGTTCGCGGGCGGATCGAGGGACTCTGGAGGCCTGGGGGCGCGCGGGGCGACAAGCGGGAGGCCCCTCTCCTCCCGGATGTTTTGCGCACTTGAGCCCAATCGGCGTCAGTACAGTCATGCTCGCATGCTGTGGGACGCCTCCCACCCCAGCGACACTGGACACAGTGTCGCACAACTCGTGAAACACATCAAACTCTGAGAATACTCTAGGGGACCTCATGGGACAGGGGGTTGAGTATTTAAAAGACACTATGAGGCCGTCTGGTTGAGCTATGGTGGACCGCCTCGGGGCCTTGCGGAAGCGATGCCAAGGAGGTGTTGAGTAGATCTGATGTGTCTGAAAATGTCCCCTGCGAAGTCGCCGCTTCGGCCCCAAGATAGCTGCTAAGCCTGCTTGACACGGGAACGGAAAGCGCAACTGCTTTGAGAAGATGCAGAACCGCTGGCCTGTGTGTTGTTCCCCGTCTTCCTTCCCCGATTACCCTCGCATTTGCCTCATCCTTGGGTAGTCTTTGGGTCATATTAACCTGTCTTGGGAGACTCTCGGACCATCTTCGGGCCTCCCTCTTAGATTCCCCAAACATCTCTCCAAGACGGCCAAAATGGCCCAAAATGGCCTCCATGGTGCCTCCAAGACGGCCAAGACGGCCGTAAGAGAGCCCAAGATAGCCCCGAGATGTCCTCGAAGACAGCCACCAAAGAGATCCCAATGAGGGGGGCCCCTCAATCGTTGTTAACGAGGCCTGGAGGAACAGAAAGCATTACCCCTGCGGGGCCCACGAGACGGGCTGAGGGAAAGGGGTCCTGAGGTTGGGACCAATATTTCATTCCCAGTCGTTTAGGGGAATGTCCTGGGGCCACACAAGAGCCCCAAAAGGGAAAAATCGGCCACAACAGCACTACCCATCTCTCTCAGAATCCATTGTGTCCCTGGTGAACCGTACGCGAGCCGTTCGAGGTCGACGTTCCGATATAGCGGGGCGAATACATCGGTGCATGAATGGGGAACAGCAGGATGCGCAAGAGCCAGGAGCAGGGAACGCGCACCAGGAGGGCGACGTGTGTGTGCGTGTGTGCAAGCGCGAACAAATAAGTAAGCGTAAGTAAGCTTAGCGGGCGAAGAACGGTCTGACATGTTTTGCGCCTGCCCAGCGCGGCTGGAAAATACATACCCTCGCGCGCAGCCGTGGGGGTACAGATTTCCCAGGCACTCCAGGGCAGGCGTCCCCGTCCCCGACGACTGCAGAATTAATGTCATACCGTTCTTAGTCCGCTATCAAAAAGGCACCCTAGATGGTTCCGACCAACTAGATGGGGTCGGAGGATCGCGCCGCATCGCCGATGCATCCTTGATGCATCGTTGATGCATCGGCGATGCATAGTCGACGTCGGCGATGCATCGGCGCCGTCGGCGTGAGAAAATCGAGCTTCACATCGAACCGCATCCCCGATGCATCTGGAAGGCCTGGAGACACAGCAGGCAGGACCGGTGCACACAACGTCCTGGCGTGGCCCAGGCGGGCATACGAGATAACCCGGTCCAGGGGCAAAAGGGGAACCTCGGCTGGCCTACGCCGTCTGCAGAGAGTTGGCTGGATACACGCGGGCGCGCGCAAAAGGACTGGCAGAAGAAAAAGCCTCAGAGGCATAAACTGTCGGAGCCCCGCGCGGATTAATTGGATCCGCGCTGCACCCCGCGCGCCAGAGGCGGCGCCACAAGCACCGCCAGGGAGGCCCAGGCGCGGATCCAGAAACCGCGCGGAGACCCGAATGCTAATGTTTATGCAGTTGGTTCTTCCTCGAGTCGAGTGCACCTTCTGCGGACGCCGAGCAGCCCACAGACCGCAGCATGCCCGGCGCGGAGGCGCGAAAATCGGCTGCTTCTCTTCTCGGCTGCGCCGACGCGGAGAAGCGACACCAAAAATGGCTGCCCTCCATGTCCTCCCCCTCCTCCCCCTCCGCCTCCTGCAACTCCCCTCCCCATCATATTATTCCTCCCCCTCCTCCTCCCCCTCCTTCCTCTCCTCCTCCTCGTCCTCGTCCTTGTCCTCCTCCTCCTCCTCCTTCTCCTCCTCCTCCTTCTCCTCCTCCTCCTCCTTCTTCTCCTCATCCTCCCCCTAGGTGGACGGAGGTCGCTGCCCGCCGCGGCGGGGGGCTGCGCTCGGCCGCGGACGCTCCCAACGATGGGACTGCGAAGGCGCCGCGGGCGGAGGGCGGGCTTGGAAGCGCCGCCGCCCTTGCCCGTACGTCGAGGACCCGTGCCACACGTGCTCCGAGGGGCAAGGGCCGCGAGGTTGGCGGCCCGCCTGCATGCGAGGCCCCTGCGTCCGTGCCGAGCTGTTCAGCCGGGGCACGGAGGAGGCGCCGCGGGCAGAGGGCGGGCTTGAGGGCGTCGCCGCCCTTGCCCGTGCGCTGGCGGATCGCCTCCAAGCGGGAGCGCTGGCCACTGACCTCGAAGAGGAGTGGGGCATTTTCCTGGCGGCGTACGCCCAGTACGACTTCGCGGAGATGACGGCGGCCATCGGCGAGGCGCGATACGAGGACCTGTACTCGCTGGCCTGAGGCTGCATCGGGTGTGGTTCTCAGGGGCTGAGGCGCTCTAGGTGCCCGCTCGGACCGGCCTGGTGAACCTCTCCCTCCCCCTCCTCCTTTCTGGAATTGCGCACCGCCTCCTCCCCGTCTACCCCCCTCTCTTCGTCCTTATCCTTCTGCTCCCTCTCCCCTCCTCCTCCTCCTCCTCCTCCTCCTCCTCCTCCTCCTCCTCCTCCGCTCCTCCTCCTCCTCCCTCTCTCCTCCTCATAATCATGATCAGCATCATCATCATCATCATCATCATCATCATCATCATCATCATCATCATCAGCAGCAGCAGCATCATCATCATCATCATCATCATCATCATCATCATCATCATCATCATCATCATGATCACCATCATCATCATCATCAGCAGCATCATCAGCATCATCATCATAATCATCATCACCATCATCAGCATCATCATCCTCATCCTCATCCTCATCATCAGCATCATCATCAACAACATGAGTATCAACATCATCATCATCATCATCATCATCATCAACATCATCATCATAATCATCATCATCATCATCATCATCATCATCATCATCACCAGTATCATCATCATCAGCATCATCAGCATCATCATAATCAGCAGCAGCATCATCATCAGCAGCAGCAGCATCAGCATCATCATCAGCATCATCAGCTGCATCATCATCAGCAGCAAGAGCCGCATCATCAGCATCAGCACAATCATCATAATCAGCATACTCATCCTCATCACCGACATCATCACCATCATCATCCTGATCAGCATCATAATCATGATCACCATCAGCATCATCATCAGCAGCACCATCATCAACATCATCAGCATCGTTAGCAGCATCATCCTCATCGTCATTATCAGCATCATAATATAATCAGCATCACGATCAACAACGGCATCATCATCATCATCATCATCAGCATCATCGGCATCCGACACCGAATCATCATCATCATCATCATCATCATCATCATCATAATCATCCTCATCATCATCATCATCATCATCATCATCATATTCATCATCATAATCACCACCATCATCTTCAGCACAACCATCTTCGCCATCCGCATCATCATCACCATCCTCATCAGCATAAGCAGCATCATCAGCATCATTATCATCAACATCAGCATCTGCATAAGCGTCATCATCAGCATCAGCATCAGCAGCATCAACATCACAATAATCATCATCAACATCATCATAGTCTTCTTCATCATCATCACCATCATCACCATCATCAGCAGCAAGAGCGGCATCATCATCATCAGCATCATCATCATCATCATCATCATCATCATCATCATCATCATCAGTATCCGCATCAGCATCAGCATCAGCATTATCATCAGCATCGTCATCAGCATCATCATCATCATCGGTATCATCACCATCAGCGCCATCGTCATCATCACCAGAAGCATCATCATCATCACCATCATCCTTCTCCTTCTCTTTTGGTTGACGGCCCTGGACCACAGCTCAAGCCCACGGCGGGTGCTTGGCAAAACCGATCCTGGGCTCTCCAGAAAGCCCTTGGCGAGGCAACGTTGATTAAAAAAATAATCTGGATCGAGACCGCTCTCAGGAACCCCAAACAAAGCATTCGAAAGCATTTGGAACTCCGCCTCCTCCAACCTCCCCCTGAGGTCTCCAGAGGTCTCCGCAGTCAAGGTCCGTGAAAGCCTCCCGGGGCCCATAATGAGCCAAGTATAAGTATGTGTGTATACATAAAATAAATAAATAACATTGGATTTCAAGCATCGATGCTCGTCCTCCTCCTCCTCCTCCTCGTCGTCCTTCTGCTCTTCCTCTTCCTCCTCGTCCCCTGACCCTAAATAGCCTAATTTGTTGAATCCGCGGACCCTAGAACGCTCGACCCCTTCCCCTGGGCCGGGTCTTCATCTGAATTCGTTGTTGGACTATCCCATGGCCCGAAGCAGGCCCCCAGCCTGATCATCATCATCATCATCATCATCATCATCATCAACAACAACATCATCATCAACAGCAGCATGATCATCCATCATCAGCAGCATCATCATCATACTCGTCCTCCTCATCCTCCCCCTCCGCCTGTTCCTCCTCCTCCTCCTTCCCCTCATGGTCATCATCATCCTCATTCTGCTCTTGGCATGGGGGAAAAGGGGTTCTGAGGGAAAGGGGTCCTGGACCCTGGGGCTGCATCTGGGAAGATGAATCATTCTTCGACGATCCTGAAGCCCTGGAAGGGCCCCGAAGGTCGAAACTTCTCGCAGGACCCCTTTCCTCAGATGCCGACTTCTTCATGGCGATCCTCCTCTCCTCACAGGGCGGAGCTCGAATTTCTCCAGGTGTGCTTTGGACCAAATCTTCAAACCAGGTCCAGCCATGGCGACCATGAGCGGAGGCACAGAAAAAGGCAAGTGCGCACCAGCAACAAAGGAAGCGCTCCAGAGCGATCCTCCCCCTCCCATCGGAGATCGGGGCTGACTTCTCGGGTCGGCGTTGGACCCACTTCCTCCTCCTCATCCTCGTTTTCCTCCCCCTCCTCCTCCGCCTCCGCCTCCTCCTCCGCCTCCTCCTCATTCCTCATCCAGTTCCCCATCCTCTCTCCTCCTCCTCCTCCTCGTCCTCCTCCTCTTTTCTTCTTACGCTTACTAATACTATTATTATTGTTAGTCAGTTTCTTCCTCTTACTATGATTAATAGTCGCATTATTATTGTTATTATTATGCTGTTTGTGTTCGTCTGATTATTACTATGATCACTATCCTCCACCTCCTCTTCCACCTCCTCCTCCGCCTCCTCCTCCTCCTCCTTCTCCCCCTGCTCCTCCTCCTCCTGCTGCTCCTCCTCCCCCCCTCCCCACAGAGAGCTCCCCGCACCCCTCCACACATCCTTTTGGCGACGCCGCCCAGCGCCGACCCAAGGGAGGTCCGCTCGGATCCTCGACTGCGTGTGCTCGGATCCTCGACTGCGTGTGCTCGTGTGCTCGATCCGGACGTTCCTCGGGCGGTCTTCGACTTTCGCCATGGCGGCCCCGTGGGCCCCGAAACCGGTGCTGCGACAGACCATACGCTGACCTGGACACCCAAAAAGGCCTCACCAGACGGCCCGCCGCCGCACGGCTCCGAAGCCCTGGAGACGTCGGCCTGCCGTAACGTCACCAGGAGAACGGCCGAGGTCCCAAGACCGTGCGTGCGCGCCCGCCCTGTGCGGAAACCTCCGCCCTGCCTCTCTGGGGGGGGGGGGGGGGAAAAAGGTCAGCCCCACTGTGTCGCCTCGTTCGGGGTGCATGTCTGACGGATTTGCAAGCCAGAGTCGCAAAATCAGCCAAAAGGCAGCGGATCTGGAGTCAAGGCTGCTTCCGCATCTCTTGTATGAATTACTTCATGAGGCTAATCCCTCGGAGGTCCACGCGGATTTCTTGGATTCGCGCTGGACACCCTTGGGGCGGCGCCGAAGGCACCTCCAGTGTGTCCCAACGCCGATCCAAGAAAACCCCTCCGAAAAACTGGCTATGGATTATGGGTGCGGGTTGGCGGACCCCGGACAAAAACTCCCGTTCGAGCGGAAACCCCCATCCGACACCACGCGCCCATAGCCTCCTCCGCCCACCCTGTGGATAGCGGTGTGCGTTTGGGGATACCGATACCACTACTCCCTGGACCTCTCACGGGTGCGTTCTGCCCCAGATTTCGAAGCAAATCCTGCGGAGGCGACGGAGGCCTCCCAGGAGTCCCCACAAGGCGAGAACAAGGCAAGGGTAGCGGTTGGGGTACATAGCCCCCCCCCTCCCCGACTGTGTGTGGGTATGTGCATTTGTGTGTATGTCTGTGTGTTGTGTGTTGTGTGTTGTGTGTTGTGTTGTGTATTGTGTGTTGTGTGTTGTCTGTTGTGTGTCGTGTGCCGTGTGTCGTGTGTCATGTGTCGTGTGTCGTGCGTCGTGTGTCGTGTGTCGTGTGTCGTGTGCGTGTGTCGTGTGTCGTGTGTCGTGTGTCGTGTATCGTGTGTCGTGTGTCGTGTGCGTGGGCGTGTGCGTGTGCGTGTACGTGTGCGTGTGCGTGTGCGTGTGCGTGTGCGCGTGCGTGAGCGTGTGCGTGTGCGTGTGCGTGTGCGTGTGCGTGTGCGTGTGCGTGTGCGTGTGCGTGTGCGTGTGCGCGTGTGCGTGTGCGTGTGCGTGTGCGTGTGCGTGTGCGTGTGCGTGTGCGTGTGTGTGT